AATACAGAAAACACAAGACTATCTTGGCCACTCCTAGCTTCCCCTTCAGTAGTTCGAGGCTTAGGCTTTCTGTTCAACCGAACAGTAATGTCGATCACCTGCAGATCTGCCAGGGTAGACTTAGCAGAGAAGGGAATCCATTGTTTAAGAGAACAGATTTCTCCTCGGGCTGAATTATGGTTCAAATACCGGCTCTGTATGACTAGTTGGATGACCTTGGTAAGAATGTAAGGCCCCTGCAAAGTATCTGACACATAATAAATTTTAATAATCAGCCCCTGCCATTTCTCCTTTGAAAATTATAATTACTGCACTAGAATTCATCTCTATTATATAAGGATGTACATAAAATAATACATCCAATAATAGAACTCTCATCAAATGGCTCGAAAGGGTCACATATCATATCCTGTCTTATCGCCAGAGCCAGTATGCACTCCCTAGATAGGATGCTCATTTCTTTCTCTGTGGCTTACGGAGGCAGAAGGCCACTCGTAATTCCTTCCAGTCTTTGAAAGCTAAGCCAGCTGTATCAGTTAATAACCTCACTAAAGGTTATCCATTACAAAGAAGGAAAGACCTAATTACTCCAGTCAGCAGGGCCATTAGTTATGTCCATGGCTCCTTGTAAATTCTGTGTGGCATTTAGGGGAATGACGCATACGAGGGGAAAATGTTACCAAAGCAGACACGCATTTAGCTTAAATACTAAATAGCCTCCTGCCATCTCTGAATCCATTTCATAGGTAATCTATCTTTAGAGAAACCTTCTTTCTGATTCTCTATAGCCCTGACACTTTATTTGTTCAAGCTATAAAATTTTTATTTGGATTCCATGGCCATTTCCATAAATCAAATTTGCCTTCTCTCTCCCTAAATAGAAAAGCTGCGCAGAGCAGCTCCCACGCTAAGGGATTTAACATCATTCTCATTTAATTTGTTAGAAACAAGCATCACTGATTGGTTTTAACCCTTTGACTGAAAGTCTAGAACCTTGTAAGGGAGACAAGCTACTATCCTTGAAATCCTGGCTTTCATGATCAGCTAATTTTGTTTGCTCTTTTGAAAACCTCGAAAAGAGAAACTATATTATTTTTCTCTCCAGGAACTTACTATTCTGGTTACACGTTCTTAGGAGTGTGACCTGGTTCAGTTTCTCATGTTTATAAACACTAACAGCGAGAATGGGAATAAGATCCATGACAGAAACATTAAAAAAAATAATAATAAAATCCAGTATTGCAGGAAGTTAGCAGACTTAGAGGCCATTGGAAAGAGGCCCCACCTCTCAATTAAGTGAGAAAAGGAAACTGTCCTTTCTTAGGTTTTAAAATGCTGTATCAAATGGGGGCACTATCAAGGATTTCTCAAGGCTCAAGGCCCATTAAAAGAAAGTTACATGTTCCTGGATTAAAAAAAAAAGGGGGGGGAATCTGAGGTCTACCTCTGGCCCTGGGTACAGACATGACATTCTGATTCTCCACCGCCCCCTAAAGACAAGGAACGTTACTATTTCTCCCTTAAGAATTAATCTGACTGGGCCTGTCAGTCATCTGGCTAGAAGACCGTCCATAGGAAATCTCAGTAACTGAAAGATGTGCTAAAGGGTTGGGAGGAATAATTAGCCCCTTAAATGAGATAAACCGCTTCTAATTCCCCAGAAGCCCCTCCCCATTGCAGCTGCCTACAGAGCCGCTATGCAGCACTGTGGGGCCTGCCCACTTTTCAGAGTTCTAACTCAAAAAAGTGTAGCTTTTCCATCTCCTTTAGAAAGATTTTCTTTCTAAAATCTTTTTTCTTTTAGATATTGGCCAAAAGCCTAAGCAGGCTTTTCCTGAGACTCTCTGCTTTCTATTCTTCCTCTGAAGCTTCCCCCGCTTCAACCACACAGCTGCTAGGCATCCTTCATCGCTGAACAAGCTGGCTGTCCTGGACTCTAAAAGGTAAGGCCTTCAATCTGCCTTCCCCTCTCTTTCCTCCCAGCAGCTGCTGAGATTCCCAGCTCGCCTACCCTGTGGTTTTCATCTCAAACTCTAGGGAAATTGTACCGGGCCTTCTTTGTAAGCCCTTTTCTAAATGCTTTTATCAATGAGGCTCGGAACTCAGAAGGGAACCCAAGTTTCGTGGGGATTGCCAGGCTGTTTTATAGCAATGTACTATGCAGTGTTGGACAGAGATAACAGAAAAGTATCTCTCCTGAGTAGTAAGTCCAGACCAACACTCGGAAAGGTTTACCGCATCCCGTTTTAATTTTTCTGCACCAGGCACGGTGGTGCATACCTGTAATCCTAGCTTTTGGGAGGGTGAAGCAGGAAGAAACTCATCTGGGGCGGCCTGGGCTACCTAGTGAGTTCCACATGAGCCAAGGCTAGAGTGGGATCCTCCTCTGTAAAACAAGCAAAATCCACACAAAACAACAACACCCCCCCCCAAATATGTGCCTATAAAATACTCATACAACTATCTTGTTTAAATAATTCCTTATGTAAATGAGTTACATAGGAAAAAAAAGATGAAATTACACATTCTTCTGACGTCATAGGAATCTCGTCTTTCCTCTGAAGGCCCAACTAATTCTATTTTTTTTCTCAGTATAATTTTTGGAAGAATAGGTAGGTAAAGGTTTTTGATACAGTAATAATATTAGCTAAATTAGAATTTAATTACAAATTGTTTGCTTGGGTCATTACAAGATAAAGCGTTGTTCCTGGAAATTACTAGAAAACTATTTTGCAATCCCTCGTGCATAGAGAGGAGAGATGGCAATTATGATATTCTGATGTAACATGAGATGTCAGAGGCAGTAGACCTGTAGGACTACACTTAGAAGTCCCAAATGCAAGGTGACCATCTTTGCCTCTCCAGAGTGGACCCGGGGTGGGCCAGGAGGACTGCTAAGTAGGAAAAACGTTTGCCACGGAACAATGACGAGCTCAGCTCCTCACATCCTCATCACCCACGTAAAAGCCTGCTGTGGGCAGCATGCGTTTGTAATCCCACGGCTGGCAGGGACAGGAGGGGCCCTGGAACTTGCTAGCCTGATGGTGTAGCCACATTGGCCAACTCCCAGTTCAGTGAGAAACCCTGTCTCAAAACACAAGGTGGACGACAACAAGCAATGACAACATCCGATACCAGTCTCTGGCTTCTACATGCATGTACATACATGGACATGCACACAGAGGCAACGGAGAAGTAAAACACATCCGGGGTGGTTATAACCTAATTTATATGAGTATATAGCACATAGCTGCCAAAATATATCAAAGGATAAGGCAAGCTGCATGTTGCAGAAGCAAAGAGAGTTAAAGAGAAATGAGCCCTGAAAAATCGGCCGGCAGGTTCTCACTGTCTATTTCTAAGACTCACTTGAGACACTAGAGAAAAGTGCATATTCCTAGACCCACCACATCGGTGCCCATTCGGAAGGAGCAGGAAGCAGAGGCAGCGTCAGGAATATAGAACTTTTCAAAAACCTTGCTTTTTGACAGATAGCACGTCAAATTCTTACAAATATTGCCTTGCCTTACACTAAGAAGATTCTTATTAGGTCAGGACTAATATTAAAGAAGATGAAGTCCCTGAGTTCGAGGCCATCTTGGTCTACAGAGCGAGTTCCAAAACAGCTAGGGCTACACAGAGAAACCCTGTCTTGAAAAACAAACAAATAAACAAAACAAAAAAGAGAAAGTCACGACAGAGAGTGGTGAAGAGGGGCCCCAGAATGCTCTGCTATGGATGGAAGGAGGAGGGTCACACTAGGCGAGTGTACTTCAGACTTCTCTCAGTGTTGATCACCACCTAAACTCCCAGTCCAGTAAGGTCAAACGAGGGGAATACTGATGGAGAAACTGAAACCCCAAAAGGGACATGCTTTTTCTACGACAGATCCTCACAGTGCACGTTCAGGGAAAAGCCAACCCCTACTTGACACCGTCTGTGCTCAAAGACTCCTCTGCACGTGCTCCGTTGGGGAGGAACAGAGCCGGCTGCATTAAAAGCCATCTTAGCTCACGACGTGCTTCTGTGGCCACAGTGGGCAATGTCCACCACTTCCTTCCCAGCGTCTGGTTACAGATCATGACACACGCCAACCAGAACGACCGATTCTTTATTTTGGGAATTTTCAGAATAGCGGGTGGAAAGGAGAGCTACCATCCCTAAAGGAAGGTGGGAATGGACAAAGAGGAGTTGTGACTGATGCGATGTGTAGGTTTGTGGGCCCATGTGTGGGTGCCTCTATGTGTGTGGGGTGCACAGCTGTGCACCTGTGGGAGGCAGAAACACGAGTATACACTGCTGTGCGTATGCATCTGGAAGCCAGAAGTTGATGTCTATTTTTTCCACCTTCGTTTTAGAACAGGTTCTCTTTATGGACCAGAAGCTCAGCACCTGGCTACGACTGGTCAGGAAGCCCACAGGACTCACCTGCCTCTGCCCCACCGCTGGTGTTTGATTATAGATAAATGCTACCCTACCTGTCTCTAATGTGGGCATGAGGGATCTGAACTTGGATCCTAGTGCTTTTGCAGCAAGCACTTTCCCTACTGAGCTACCTTCTCAGGTCTGACTGATAAATTTTGAGGAGGAAAATAAAGAGTAATTCTGGTAAGTTTCTGGAGGGCAACCTTCCTCCTGCCAAACTGGCCATGCTAAATCTTAGTCTATAGCAAACACGATTAGGTCTTTGCTCTGGTGTAGCACATACAGGTAGGCATAATACCCAGATGGTCAGGTTGATCCCATGCTGAAACAGCACACATCTGATATGCCAGAGCAGGTCAGAGGCCTTATTTATTGAAACTGTACCTTGTAGCTCCTAAACAATCAAGGTGAGCTTGCGAGACCATAGCCAGGATGATAACCACCTATTCCAGATAAGCGGACGGTACCACACAATGACGTAGTCACGCTAGAAAGGCAGCTCTGAGCTAGCAAGTGCTGCGGTCCCAATGTGCTCCTTTCCCACTGCTGTGCAACTGTTCCCATGTCAAACCAACCTTCATCACCTCCACCTGCAGGTCCTCATTGAGCGAAGGCGTCACTTTCACGGCGTTCAGGATCTGATTGAGCAGCTGCTTCTCATCAGAGTCTGTCTCCATGGAGACAAACCTCTCTTCTGACAGCAGCTTCTGTAAAGAGGCACAAGGCAGTGATTGCAGCCTTCTCTGGGATACCTTATTATGGGGGATGCTCACTTTTCTTACGCAGGAGTATCTAGCTGGAGGTCATCAGGCAAGAACTCACGCAACGTACCACTGAAAGGAAAAATGCCCAGCACTTCAGAAGAATGGGTTGTGGAAAAAGGTATCTTTCTCATGGCAGGTAATTCGCTCTGCACTTCAGCCAGTAAAAATGCTATGTGCTAGTCATTGACGTTATTCGGGCAGAAAGGATGAGTGTGTGAAAAGGAACCACCCCACAAAAGAGTCACTCACAGGCATTCTCCTGGTATGCGTAAGTTTTGTCACGTGAAAGCAAAAGGTCTTGGAAGCACAAGTTCATTTTTCAGATATTTATGCTTTTATTACCTAATGGGAGCCTCATTGATCCAGAATTTTTTTCCGAAATCCACAAACCTTAATATGTATCCCACTAGAAAAACAAAGAATCCACTTACATGAGGACATCAGGGGACAAGGCTTATTTTCCCAAAATTTCTTCTATGCTTATGAACCTACAACTCTACTCTCTCACACGTCTCTAGAATTTCATAGATGAGGCATCCAAAATACATGACAAACGTGCCCTGGGAATGAGCAAAGGGCGTTTGGCATGGCCTGACACTAGAGAGGGACACACAGCGTGAATCACCTTCTCAAGTCAGAACGTGGCCAGCAGTCATGGTACATTCTATGCCGTTTCACCCTGAAAAGCCCAGTTCTTGCCACAAGGGCTGAGATTAAGTTCCCCCCACCCCCCACCCCCCACCCCGATTCTGAACTGGTGCAATGGATTTTTTTTTTCCCCACTGAGACTCGGCATAGGACTTTATATTTATTCTTAGCCCAATTTGTTCTTTTCCATTGTAAGTTAGCTGCAGTAGGAACCTCCGAGGAGTCCAGAGCCGAGGCTCATGTTGACGCTGTGTTACAGTGAGACAGCAGTTCCACATTGTGCCTACAGTCACCAGGCCACAAGGGAGCAAGGACTCATAAAAGGAGACTTGGCCATTAATCACCAACATGAATACAATTAAGCAAGCTTTAGAAAACATAGACCCCCCAGCTTTAAATGCCGCAGAATTGGAAAGACAAACACAATGGGAAATCTGTACGACGCTAGAGAAAACAGAAAAATGCAGCAGGTCAAAACAACTCCTTATGTATTTCTACAGATGGCCCAATGTCAGAAATCAAAGCCTTTGAAGAACATTAACAACGACGCATTAAAATTTCCTATGGCTTTACTGTTGTTGTTGTTCAAATACACATTATCTACTCCCAGTCCACTGAGGCTAAGGGAGCTGATTTCTGGCTCATATGGCTTCACCTTATAAAATCAATGTGTTTAGACAGCCATCACGGTTCACAGTTGGGGTCAAAGCCACTCTGTGTGGTGTAGAACACAAATGTTCAGAGAAAGACGTGTGTTCAAGTAATCTCACTTTTTGGATTAGACCAAAGAATTTTTTCTTTTCTTCCCAGTTTTGTCATAAAAACATAATATATTAATCCATTCATCAACCTAACTGTAGAATAAAAAAAAAATCGAGTTCAGATTGAGAAAAACAAATATGATGTTTTTCTCTTATTCCCAGGGCTTGTATTTTACAGAGATACATAAAGTCATACATGTGTCTGTAGATTGAAGGTGTTTGGGGAAAGAATGGAAATGGGAGGCTAAAAAGGAGGAAACAGAGGGGTTAGGGGAGGAGAAATACAGGGGCTGGAGGGAGAGGGCAAAGAGAGTAGGGTGAATACTGTATATTTTATACATGTATGAAATACCTTTATGAAGCCTCATAAAGCATGGTGAATATGTGCCAATCAAAATGCCTTGTCATAGTTAGGAAAATGGGTACAGCAAAGATCACCATGTTCAGTCACTCCCAGAAAAATAAGCATCATGGCTTCTCTCATTTGTAATTAGCAGGTATCATGTAGAAACAAACAAATAAAAATCATGTATGAAAATAGAAGGGAACTGTCTAGAGAAACACAGGGGAATAATGGTGGGGAAGGGAGAACAGGAAAGCTAGGGTCTATGGGGGAGTCCGCTCAATGTATGATATGTAATTGTATACCAATTTAATAAGAGAAATTGATGAGGAAAATCATATAAAATCTTTTTACTTTACTATCAATCCCGATTACACCAAATCACAGATATGGATTGTAGATGAGATCTGGATGGATATAAACTTAGGGCTTAGCTGGCTCCCTATGAATCAGAGGCTCAACCAAGTAATACTGTGTCCAGAGACATTCTGGAGGCTATAAGAAGATCTTGTCCCTTCTGGAGGTATTCTATTAATTCAATCAAAGTTTCAGACAGCCAGGATTTAAAATGCTAATGATGTGCTCTTTCAATGCCAGTGTGGTCTGTCAGCTTCTGTCACATGACTGCCTGCAGTTAAGGTCATACCTGCATCCCGGCCAAAGCATGTTGGGCCAGCTTCACGTTCTTTGATTCCAACGCCAACTGGAGAGGCAGCAAGCATTTCTCCCTGGCAGACATAGAAGTGCAACATGTGAGCTTGGCAAAACTGGCAGTCATGCATTGTAGGCCTTAGGATGCACCCCCACCCCCACCCACCACCCCCGCAACTACCGCCACCACTACTACCCCAACCCCCCCACCACACAAAAAACTAGAACCCTTCATGAAATTACACATGATTTAAAGAGCAGCAAAGCTGCGCAGAAATCCTAATACACCAGGAGCCTGCCTTCCTAATGTGGCGGCAGGAAGAACAAATACAATCACATGCTATCTCCTTCCCCAGATTAATGAGTTGCTCATACCCAGTACACCAGGTATGAACAGCTCTAGGGAGCAGCATTTACATCAATTTCTATGCCCCACTCAGAGCTCATTCCCTACCTAGGAAGTCATTCTATCACCTCTGGCATTCTTTATCCATATAAACTAAAATTCTTTTAAATTTGCCAATTCTTCCCAACTCAAAGAATAGCACAGTCATTAATAATTTTAAATTCTCTTCCTATAGTCTCTATCAAGTCCAGAATACGCATATTCCCACGACATAACTAGAACTACATAGCAGCAGGTTGGTCAACAAGAGGCATGGGCAAACAATGTGAAAGTTAGAGCTATTTGGGTTGCCTAAAGTTTAAAAACAAAAACAAATAAACAAACAAAACAGAGAATTAAAGTATGTTAGGAATTAGCCAAAAGAGCCACAAAGACAAAAACAGTTTGTATTAGAGTATATTTGCATTCACCTTAAATAATTAAATAGGTCCAGAATTTTAATCAATTAACTCATTATTTGCAATTTTAATCAACCCATCATTCCCCCCATGGGTTCCAACAGTACAACAGAACACATGTCACTTCATTTTTCCGGTCTACCTCCAATACACCAAAGCAGTCCCACTGTTTTTGAAAATCTGTTCGCATTTTCGGCATAAGCCAGAAAGGTAAGTGAGGGAGCCACAGGGTTAGAATCTAGGGTGTCATTTGTTGGGGAGCAGGGGTCACTGCTATAAAATACAATGGAACAGAAAGTTAATTATAGCCTTGATTCCTTCCTGTCCACCCCATCCACCCCACAGCTTTGCAGCCTTCCTGGGGAACCTTCTAGCAGCAGCTCCCTACTGACAAAGTCAGAGTCTTTGACCCTCCCCAAAGGCAGCTGTGCGACAGCTGACAACAGCCCAGCAGGACGAACACTTGCTGCCTAATCTTTTTCACCTCTCCCCTTGCCAACCCAAGGATCCAACATTCATTTTTACAGGATAATGGATGGCAGCTCTACCAGGTCACATGAGGTACAACCTTTGGCAGATAAATGGATTGCCCAAATAGGTTACTTCCAGATGGGTGGTTGTAACTTTGTTGCTGTTACCGGTTTTATCTGCCCTTCTCCGTGATCATGCAAAAGCCCTGCTGAGCAGTTGATTACAGAAGAAAAAGATGAGGCTTCCAATTTTGTGTCTTCTGTTCAGCCATAACCAGTGCATAATTTGGAAAATTAATTCAGAAGGTAAAAACAGAGGGAGTCTTGGACTGATGGGGTAACAGCAGAAGCAGCCCTGGACTTCACCTGTAAACCCCAAAACAATCAAATCTCCATCAGGATGTATCTTCTATGAAAGAACTTTCATCTCCAATTTCGAGTCAGACCCAACAGTGAGGGCATAGCTCCAAGAAGCCACTCAGGAAATCCAAAGCCCTCACAGCTAAATGGATGCAGCAGGAGCCATCCATGAGGTAGCTGCAGGCTGATACTACACATGCATTACGTATTCTAAATCAAGGCTAACGTGAGTACCACATCCAGCAACCATAGCCGTTCTCTTGTAAATGCCCCCGGGAAGCAATGTTGCGTTCATATTCAACTGAAAAATCACTACCACCCATCTGCACCCATCCTTGCATCTGCATGTGGTCCCCCAATCCTTCCTCTATCCCGTGACTGATTTGAGGTAGGTTCCCGACAAATTCCAGGACTCTATCATGACTCTGAAGCACCTTTCTAGTCTGTTATCCATGCTGTTCTGAAGACTGGTAGGGGAGAACTGTTTCAACAAGGTTTGTGCTGAGTTGACAGGTATCAGTTAGTGTGAAGGCCATCGACTATGGATTCATTAAGACCTGAACCAAACTGTAATATTGTTAGTTCTTGGCTTCCCATCCATTGAAAGGAACCAATCTTAAAGCCAACACTGAGCTGGGTACAATGGTTTAGACCTGCAATCCTAGAACTTGGGAGGTTGAAGCGAGAGTATGGCTGCAAGTTTGAGGTCAGCCAGGTCAGATTTTGTAGTGAGAGAGACTCTTATGCAAAATAAAACAGAATAAAAACCAATCCTGAAATGGATGCTGCTGTGCATGGAGTAGCAGGATTTTTCAGTATAAAAACAGCTGTGCATTTCACATGGTCTCTGTTAGAACTGCTCAGCTCTGCCAGACATAGAGGCAGCCACAGACAACAGGTAAGTCTATGAACCTGTACTTATGAAACCAGACAAGGAACCAGATCAATTCTGCATACTAGCCTGTTCAGTCCTGGCACAGATCATGCCCTAGAACATGGGCTAAGCAAATCGAGCCTTCTCATGTATCCAGAAAGTTTTCACAGGACATGGGGCTATCTGCCTCAGAAGGGCATCAGCAAAACCAAAGAGGGCACCGAAATCTCTCTTAGAAAATAGGCACTTTGAATAAACATCACTGTAGGCAAAGACGTCATTGGGCATTAAACCAAGGCATTCTGTCCATCTACTGAATCAACATTTGGTATCTACTGTGTGCCAGGCACCATGTACAGATCTGGGCATGAGCCAACATGGAACAGGACAGAGCAGGTGCGTTTGTTCATTTGTATTCAGAAAAAACTAGAAGAAGAAAAATATTCTTAGCATGTATTGCTTCTATATTTAGTTTATCTATTACTCCAACTTTAAAATAAGCCTGATCCTTGGGTCACACTTGAAAAAGCTTGGGTTCAGGGAAGATCTGTAGCCTGTCTAAATTCACTCAATTCAAATGTTTTGGAGATAATTCAAATCTAAATCTCCATGACATTCTAAACCAAATTCCCCCTCACCTCCTTTGGTATTAAAAGTGCAGAGCAAAGCAAGAACAGTTGTTTCTTAACCATTTGTAGGTCACAGATAGGAAAAAAATGTAGCATAAAGGGGGACAGCAGAGGGGAGCTGTATGTTCAAACCACACTACATACATGAATGAAAATGTCCTTGTGAAACCCAGGACCACGGACAATGAAAAGCGGTCAGCTAACAACATTACACAGGGGCTGGGGAGGTAGATGGCTAAACCGCTTGCCACACAGCATGAGCTCAGAAGTCCCATAGAAACTGGGCACTATGGCAGCCACCCATAACCTGAGCACTTGGGAGACCGAGAGAGAAGATACCCAGGACAAGTTGACTAGCTAAAGTAACCAAGTGTTCACTCTCCTGCTGTAGGAAGCATTCTGTCAAGAAAAATTTGGGGGAAGAAAAGGTTATTTATTTACAGATTATAGTCCATCACTGAGGGAGGCCAGGGCAGGAGCTCACGTGAGAACTTGAAGCAGAAACCATGGAGGAATGCAAGCACTCATGAGCTCTCCCCTCCCCACTCCTCCCTCCAAAGAGTTGTTTATTCATGTGTGTTGTGTGTGTGTGTGTGTGTGTGTGTGTGTGTGTGTGCACGCGCGCATGCGCACGGGGCTTGCAGAGGCTAGAAGAGGGTGTTGGATCCCATGGGACTGGAGTTATAGGTGACTCTGTGGTGCAGGATAATTGTATTCTGTCAATCATGTTTTAAATAAATGCTGATTGGCCAGGCAGCAATTATAGGCGGGTCAACCAGACAGGAAGTAGAAGTGGGGCTACGAGAACTAGAAAATTCTAGGTAGGAGGAAGTCCATTCCTCCCAGTCCTGTCCAGATCACTGAAGAAGCAGGATGTGATCTGCCCCACTGAAAAAGGTACTGAGCCATGTGGCTAACATAGATAAGAATAATGGGTTAATATAAGTTATAAGAGCTAATACAAAGCCTGAACTAATGGGTCAGTTTGTAACCTAATGTAGACTCTGTGTGATTTTCTTTGGGACTAAATGGCTGGGGAACTGGGCAGGACAGAAACCCCAACAAGCAGGACCTCATGTTACAACTCTGTGTTGTCTGATGGGAATGGATTGTTAGATTTGCTACAAAAGCATCAAATGTTCTTAAACTCTCTCCAGCCCCTTAGTCAGCAAATATACATATACAAACACACAACACACACACAGACACATGGGCATATATATATGTATATATATATATATATATATATATATATATATATATATTTATATTTATATGTAATCTCCCAGGGCCTTTGGTCCAGGGAAGGTACTACCCACAGTGGCCTAAGACCTTATACTGGCAACATGACTCAACCAGATGCCATTTAGAAAAAGGGAACTTTCAACTGAGAAAATACCCTCGCCAAATTGACTCCAGGGCATACCTGTGGTACATCTTTTTTTGATTGATTGATGATGGATGTGGGAGGGGCCAGTTCACTGTGGGCAGTGTTACCCCAAGGATAGTGTCCTTGGAACTATAAGAAAGCAGGCTAAGCAAGCCATGAGGAGAAATCCAGTAAGCAGCACGCCTCCATGGCCTCTATCAGTTTCTGCCTCCAGGTTCCTGCCTTGAGTTCCTACCTGACCCCTTTTGATGGTGGACTGTGAGGTGCAAGTGTCAGAGAAACAAACCCTTTCCTCCCCAAGTTGCTCATGTTCTTGGCATTTTGTCACAGCCATAAGATCCATAAGATGGGCCTCCTACATCAACAACCAATCAAGACAATCCCCAAAGACATGTCCACAGATCGATCTGATCTGGGCATTCCCTAATGGATACTTCTCAGGTGACTCTAGGCTGTGTCAGCAGACAGTCAAAGGTCATTTGGACACTGAGATTGGCAAGCTCTGGATTTACAGAGAGAGCCTGTCTTAGCAAATAAAGTGGAGAACAGC